CAGGCACGTTGCGCACTTGATAAGTACACGCTACTGACTACATGGCAGAAGGATATCTTATTGTTGGACAATGAGGAGCCTAAAACATACAAAGAAGCATTGATGGGACCGAAGTCTGAGAGATGTCTTGATGCCATGAGATCCGAGATGGAGTACATGAGAGAGAATCAGGTTTGAAACCTGGTTGATCCACCATATGGTGTGAGAGCCATTGAGTGTAAATGGATTTTCGAGAAAAAGATAGACGCTGATGAAAAGGTTCACATCTATAAGTCACAACTGGTAGCGGAAGGTTTTTGTCAAATTCAAGGTGTTGAATATGACGATGTTATATATTTTTGCTTTTCGTAATGCTAAAGTCTATTCGGATCCTTCTAGCAATTGCCACATATTATGACTATGAGATTTGGCAAATTAACGTCAAAACGGCATTCCTTAATGGAAACCTAAGTGAGGATGTGTACATGACACAGCCCGAAGGTTTTGTCGACCAACAAAATGCTAGAAAAGTGTGTAGACTTAGGAAATCTATATACGGGCTAAAGCAAGCATCCCGGAGCTAGAATCTTTGAATTTGACGAGGTAGTCAAATCGTTTGGCTTCTCACAGAATAAAGAAGAGGCATGTATTTACAAGAAAGCTAATGGAAGTGCACTCGTATTTCTAATCTTGTATGTGGATGACATATTATTGATTGGGAATGATATTCCGCATATGGAGGATGTCAAGGCCTCATTGAGAAAGAGTTTCTCTATGAAGGACCTTGGAGAAGCAGCCTACATATTGGGCATAAAGGATTATAGAGATAGATCTAAACGCTTAATTGGATTAAGCCAGAGCATGTACCTTGACAAGGTGTTGAATAGATTCAACATGAATGATTCCAAGAAAGGATTCATACGTATGTCACATGGTGTAACCTTGAGCAAGACTTAGTGTGCGTCGTCGCTTGATGAGCAAGAAAGGGTGAGTCGGGTGCCATATGCTTCCGCTATTGGCTCTATCATGTATGCCATGTTCCGCACGCGCCCAAACATTTTGTATGATCTAAGTGTTACGAGCAGGTACCAATCCAACCCGAGTGATGATCACTGGATTGTAGTAAAAAATATCCTAAAGTAATTCCGAAGAACTAAGTATATGTTCCTAGTCTATGAAGGTTCGGAGGAGCTCTTTGTAAAGGGTTACACTGATGCTAGCTTCCAAACCGACCAGGACGATAGTAAATCTCAATCGGGATATGTCTTCTGCCTCAATGGTGGGGCAGTGAGCTGGAAAAGTTCCAAGCAAGAGACTGCTGCAGATTCGACAACCAAAGTTGAGTATATTGTAGCTTCGGAAGCTGCAAAGGAAGTTGTATGGATCAGAAATTTATTTTTGAGTTGGGCGTGGTCTCTAGTTGCTCCAGTCCGATAGAGCTCTATTGTGACAATAGTGGTGCTATTGCACAGGCAAAGAAGACTAGGTCGCACCAGAAGTCCAAACACATACTACGGCGATATCACCTGATTCGAGATATCATCGATCGAAGAGTTGTGAAGATATGCAAGGTGCACACCGACCTGAACATTGCAGATCCGTTGACTAAGTCACTTCCACAAGCAAAGCATGAGATGCATACGAAGTCAATGGGCATGAGATAATGGCATAACTGACCAGCACTAGTGGGAGGCTTATGATGATGTATTCCATAAAGGTAGTCATAAGATGATGACATCATGTCCATGTTTGTAATCTGCATTTTTCAGTGATATGTTCCATGATTTTGTCATTACATGTGATTAGCGAATACGTGATTCGTTAGTGAACCTCCATGATACAATATTGACATTGTACTAAAAATGGTCTCTAGCTTCCATCCGTTATGTGGGACTGTGACGTAGAGATAAGCTGGTACATGTGTTGGGTAGATGATCTTGTTTCATAGATCATGGCAATATGGGATATTGCGCCAACAATGTAGGCACATGTTAGGAACACGGTGTCGGACAGACCCACAACGAGACACCACAAATACACTGTATCGGTGAGTCTCGTAACGACACGCATACTACATTCTCTGACCTGAGATCGGTGCAGAGTCTCGGATTGTGGAGCATCTTGGGGTTGCTAAACGCTATTAAGTAACTGAGTAGTTATGAAAGCAATTTTTGGATGTGGTTGAAGCAAGTCGCAGGGTGTACGGAGTCAAGAAAAAATCTGCCCCTCCAGTTTCAGGGAAAGACTCCCTGAGCCCTCTCAATGTGATGAACTGAAAGCGCATGACCATGCATCGACTAAAGGTAAGTCGATCAGAAAAGTTTGTCACTGAGTGAGAAATGGCTAAGAATAAGGGTAGCACTTCATTTGCCTTATACTTGGCTAGGTGTCGTGTGGCAGAAGGATATAATATTGACGAGTGTTACAGGTTATGCAAGATACGATCTTCGTGAACCTTCGGGAGTCAATACGCCTTGCTAGAGATCAATGCTAACTTTTGATCAGAAATGGTTTCCGAACCATGTCGTAGGTTGCATGAACCTACGCGATCACACACTTAAGGATTGGATTACATGGATACTTGCATAATTAACTCTTGTGCAAGTGGGAGACTGTTGGTAATGCCCAAGAGTCGCTGACCCAATTAGCAAGTCTATAAATACTAATTAGATTTAACCCTAATAGGGGTGATTCCTTTGGCCAGCCACCGCACACCCACTTACTGCCGCACCAGCCTGGTGCCGCAAGGCTGCTGTTGCCTGCCGCGTCGGGGCTGTAGCCCACATGCAACCTTTGGTGCGCCGCTGCAATCTGCCCTCCCGTATCAAAGGTTGATCGCAGGGATCTTTGAGTAGGGGTCGAGGAGTGCTAGCACGCTCCAATTCGTCGTTCCATCCCGTACATGAAGATTGCCAAAGAGTTGTCGCTCGTTTACGTACTTCATCAGATCGTACAACTACCTCCTCGACGTCGATCAAATCGACTACTCGCGCTTCATCAAGACTTCCGCTGCGACGAGCGAGTGAAAGTATAATCTATGATCATCTACTCGCAAGTGATCCTGTTCATGCGGTTATTTCATTGTGTGCTAGCGAGTAGCATACCCGCGTAACCTAACATCTTTTTGTTCCCATTACAAGATACGAGAAAGTCTGATCGCATAACCAGGCAAAAACAAAATGTGAATAACTTGCTCTTCGACACAGTTTAAGTACAAATGGAGCAAAGGAATACTCTTGGCTACACTACATTTCTTTTTTTCTTATAATTGTGAAATGAGTATACTACAAACATTGAGTAAGGTGCGATAGTTATACTACTACCATTTAGTGCCGCAATTAGAGTAGTTTAATATATGGAAATTATTCATGTGACCATACAAGAACAAAACGTATAAAACTCCAACATCATTCTATTAAAAAAGAATTAGTTCCATCAAGTTTGTGAAATTGGTGCATGTGACTAAAACAAAAAAAAAGATTAAAAAAAGGGAAAAAAAATGTCTATAATCACTAAACTTTATAGATCTTCACTAAAACTTTCAGGCCAATTGTGTAAAAGGTGAGGATCAAATCTATGAATATACTTCAACCCATGGATTCTTAGATGTGATTTTATCTCACATGAGGTACTTATTTACTGGAGCAATCTCTCAAAATTTGAAGGTTAACAGATTATGAATAGCCAGCAGTTCAGATAACAAGTAGAAAGTGTGGAATAGAAGGTGTTGGTTTGTCCACATTTCTACTGAGAAGGTTACAAGGCTATCCACTCTGGTATAGTACATATGAGCATCTTATGTTCAGCTAGACATTCTATATTAGTATTACAGTCTCTGGACCAGCCACATTTAATATTCTTACATCCTAAACGTGCTAGTTTGCCTCTCCATTCAGTACATATCTGCAGGTAGAAAAGTGTAGAAAAGTATATGTTAATGAACATCTAAAACATTCAATAAATCCACAAAACAGAACCCATGTGGGTCCTGGGCCGTTGAGAAATTTGGACTTTCTTCCGGGTTGTGGAAAACCAGAACCCTGAATTCGGACCTCACACTTCGAGCTGCATGTCGGGTGTTCGAGCAACAACAGTAATTAAAGGCAGAGACAGAAGACTTTTTTGGCTTTTTTTAGATATTTTATGAAGTAGAACATAAACCTTACGATTTTTTAATTCAAAACTAGTTTATAAATAAATAGTATTTATTGTTTAAAAAAACATATACCAATAAATAAATAAAATGTTCAATTAGAAAAATAGCAAAATTGAAATAAAATTTGTGTAAAAAGCTAATTTTTACAATAACTTAAGCTGTATGCGCTTAAAAATCGCTTGTACAGTAAGATGTTCTCCGACTGCAAAACAGTTCTGCGCTCTTCTGCACGATCCAGTCCAAAATGGGCGCACACCTCCCGCGCTAAAGTGATGCTCCAGTATTTAGACCATGGGTTATTTCGATCTAGCTGGCTCCACGGAACTGACGCATTCCCTGCCCGTGTTGTGTTGTGGTCCGTCTGTACATCCCTTTCTCGTCCTCTTCAACTCAATGCCGAGTACTCATTGGGTCAGTAAGCGCAGCGTTTGCTGAGGACATCACTCACTCTGAAAGCTTTCTGAGATTCAAAGTTTCTTGGCTATGAAAGGCCGCGTTTTTATACTGTCCTCAAGTAGGCCCTTCAACTGATGGTTTGCATGACTCGACCTGTCGTGGAAAAAGTCACAATGTGCTAGATGCGGAACAGGGAAAGAGAAAGTGAAATACTTTTTAGTGAAGCGAAATTCTTGACGTCTCTCCTACAAGACAAATGCAGAAAATCTGCACTGTCTCGGATCTCTTCCTCTGTCTCAACTTATGAACTGCAACCCGAAAGCAACGAATCGAGCTAGTGATTTTTCGTGAGTGAGATAGGGCGTAAGACCCACACAGGTCAATGGATCCGGAAAGGCAACACGCATGGACATTGTCGAAGTATTGCAAGCCCGTGCGAGGACGTTGAAACGACATTGAAACAAAAGCTGAGGGGCCATGAAATATCTCAGAGGAAATAGTACAGTCGCAATTGAAATTTGCCGGTAGCTAGAATCCCATAATAATGTAAAAGAATATGTAGTTTTCACCACGCGCTTGTCTAAATATCAAGATTTCGGACCACAGATGTGACAGTCGATCCACTCAGCTCCGCTTGCAAGCCCGAAGGCTGCCTCCCCTCCACTGACCTCTTCTTCCTTGGTGATGGCACAAGGTCATGTTCCTTGTCAGATGTCCAGGTGGTGAGCGACCCGGGACACATGACTTTCACTAGCGCTCGTCAAAACTCGGTTCATCGTCTAAGTATACAAACGAAACTAACTGCCTATCCTAATCGGTGCCCTTAAGAGCAACTCCTATACACAGAATCTTACGACGGGGTTTTAGTGGGATATTCTCCAGCTTCCATTTTCGAATATATGAGTCAAAAATTCATGCTTATACAACGAGAGAACGAAGAAATGTGCAGCACCTCACACTCCTGCAATGTATACGGCTCAAACCAAATCCTCCAACCATCCCGAGCTCGTATAAAGCGACAGCACTCAATGTACGTGGTCAAAATGTTCTCTCCGATCCATCGGAAAGAGTCAGCTCGCTGAGGTCTTCGGCAAGTTGTGGCATCTCATCAGCAGGAGGGGCAACTCCCGCGTCACCCTTCCCTTGTGTCAGCCACTCGACATTGGGCACATCTTCGTACTCGTAGCCGAAGGCGCTCATGTCCAGCGCGTGTCTGGCTTTCATCCTTCTGAGGACGATGTTCTCGTCGTAGAACAAGAACTCGGCGTCCAAAAAGTCTGGGTCGTTGGGGACAGTGTTGTTGGGCGACAGATTGCGCCAAACATCCCACAACCTGTCGATGTTCTCGTGGTGGGGGTAGAACAGCGGATCTCCTGCAGCGAACGAGAAGTCGTCCATGTCGATTCCGACCCACTTGTGCAGAGCACCGTGAGCTGACACTTCCAAAGTCCCTGCGCCCACGTAGGGAGTCACTCTCGGATACCCAGCTCTGTACACCCTCCCGCTGAAGCCCTCGGGGGCATCTTTCAATGTGATCATCGCCCAGTGCATGGTCTCCAGATTCCTGGCCTTGGTCACTTCCTTGCTGAATCCTCCGGGGAGTCTCGTTTCGTTCCAAGCATCGACCCACAAGTCCACGACCAAATCGGGGTGGTAAGTTCTATTGTGGCGATTGTGATGGAAAGTGGAATGTTGGGTGGGATCTGCGTACATGGGAGGGATGATGTCGCCGGGCTTGCCGCATCCGCCCTGGCCGGCGTTGTCCCAGTTCCAGAAGTGGAGGGTGAAGTCGGGGTCGCCGAGAAGGTGTTGCAGGATTCGCTCATGGAAGTAGAGGAAGAATCGGTGGAATGGGTAGAAGAGCCAGCCGAAGTGAATGTCGACACCAACGCCTTGACAAGTGTAGGCGCCAGTGGAGTGGGCGCAATGGCACATCCGGTGTTGTTCCAGACATCTCGGATCGTCCAGAGGCAATGCGCGCATCAACGCGTACCCCTTGCGCAGCTTCTGCACGTAAATCTCCAGCTCCTCCCCTTCCAAACATTGCAGAGCTTTCCTGACTCTCAGAGGTTTGGACATGTTCCGCACGGGGACGAAGTCGACGATCGGTCCTTTTGGCATGGGCGGACAGCAGTGCATCAGTGGGCCATCAGTTCCTAATCCGACCCTGCCGGGTTTGCATCCGTCGAAGGTGATTTTCACTGGAGCCGCTCGAACCCCAGTACCTGAATAGCATACTAGCAGAGCAAAAACACACGACAATAATAATATCCTGCCTGTTTCCATCGCAGATCCTTTCGTGAGCTGCAGAAATCAACTGATGAAGCTGAAGGTGTCACCGATTTGGCTCCAATGAACTATACCCGACTTATTTCGACACCTGGTGCATGAATCCACGTTAAAAAAACCCACTGCCGCAGTGACCCTGTCCACGGAAACGGACGAAGACCAGAAAAACCCTCCTCCTCTTCAGAACCACAACAGCCGAGAGCTTCGAGCTGCCTAGTGCTCTGCTCTGCACTGCACCTCTGCAGATATGAAGCTATGCTATTTTCTTTTCTCGAGCCTTCATTCCAAGTTCACCAGCTCGAGAAGCTCGAGTGCGTATCTGTGAGATAGAGAGTTTCTTCCTCAGTCCTACTCCAGAAACTGGACCTTCCGATTGGAGTTCTTCGAGCTGGTGAGCTTGTAGCTCCGGGAACTTCCGATCCGAAGGGTCAAACTTCATGAGAGTGGACGAAGGCTACATGCTGAGACCTCCGGCCACCTTTTTATATGCAGGCCCAGATATGCAGTCTCGACATGCCAGCTGGCAGACACATGTACTCGACACTGGGGTGAAGGCATGTCTGCAATTGATTTTGCATGCGGATTTCCGATTCCTGGTGTGTGAGGCTTTGCGTTGATATTTTTCTCCTGTGTTATCCGGGTTGATGACTTTTTCGCTTTTCCGACCATTGAAATAATTCATGACATTTGTCCATTTTGGTGTTTTCATGGGGTTCTAAAGAGCTGTGCTTACGCAAGTGAAACTAGGTAATGATGGACACTAAATTACGAGGAAAAAGGATAGATGTGTCTTTATCATTATTTTTGTGCTAACTAACCCTTCACTTCAATGTCTCTTTAACCTGGAAAGGCATCTATGTGTAAACATTCCCAAGAAATAATAAGTATGCCACTTCGTATGACGATGATGACGGGTCATCGCATCCACATTTTCACTTTGGACAACGTTAATACTCCAAGGATTTCTTTGAGAATAGCTTTGGATGTATACATATGGCAGTGAGAGTAGTTAAAATCCATTCATCTTCTATTTAAATCTTTGTAAAATAGTTTTACATGTCCAATTTACCCTAGCTATAGATTGTCAATCCTATTCCAAGAATTCCAAATACATAAATATGAGAAAATTTTAATTCCGTGTACTATAATGTAGAAGTTTAACGTATGTATGGACAGCTACTAAGACATATCCATAATGAAATGTGTGAGAATATATCATACTGTGTGATATTATTATAAAATTTTTAATAAACAACATGTATCTGTGACTCTATATTGAGCACTACTTCATGTTGATATTGTCGGAATTGTGAACTGTTTTCACTATATAGTTATGATATCTAAAGCGATGTGAGATGCTTTTGTGTGCTTTTCAAACTTATAGGGTTTATATAATTTGAAAATTGATGGGGTCTTCATATACTTTTTTCGTTAAGTTAGTGTGTAATTTCCAACCTCTCCATGGTCCAAATTCATTTGTTAATGACTTTGTGGTAAAATTGCATCCGGAGTTACCAGATGATCAATACGATCTGCCGTAAAGAACCCAGTCCGCAAACTTAATTTCGTTAGCGGAATGCGTTCACCTGAACGGGGAATTCAGCACCTTTTGTGTACGAGATTGTGGTTCCCATCAAAAAGCACGATAGCAACAATCCAGACGATCGTGTCCATACCGACAGCTTCGAGCGCCAGTCCCAGCTTCAACTTTATTCTCGTCGAGCGGAGATGTGCTTGACCTCCACGAGATAGATTACCAGCTGAACTCTATTTGTGTGAATATTACCACACTAATCCACCGCGGACACTACAAATAATACTTCTAAAATCTGAATGTCGTGACACTCCTTCAAATAATCATTTCGGAGTATACCTACGTTAGTTTATTCATCGCTGTGATTTTTCCACAGGTCCATCCGGTCGGCGGTTACCGGGTGGACCGAGATAGATCACTATGAGGGAACGACGACTCTCCTCCTCACACGAACATACAGGATTCCTACCTCTTCAGCACAACCTGAGACTCATTTATTGTCTGATCGATAAACAGAATACGTGTCGAAATCGATGCACAGATTGTATCATTCTTATTCCGCACATGAGAACCTTGACCCCAGAATCTGTGAACGATAAGAGACACCTGAGTAAAATAACATAAACATTACGCCAAACAATTTCCCAAGAAAACTATCGACAAAGCTGGCAGGTACCCATGGCCCAGAGCAGGCCCCATGGGAATACATTTCCATTGTCATCTTTCGCTGTACACACTCTGCGGCATCGACAATGGACAATACTCCGGTCATCCCACACCAGCAGCGAACAGCGACTGCTAAACAGGGATTTCTGCAATATGCAGTGTGCAGATAACGAATATCGTATCCCAGGCTATTCTGTCCATATTATATATCTTCAATTATTAACAAATGATAGACGTAAAAATTTCCATTTTCTAATACTCCAGTTGCAGCTATATCGCTCACTCCGCCATTCGAAACCCCTGGCTATTTTGTCGACATCCTACCAGAGGCCAACAGTTTACTTCAAATCTGCACCCAGACTAGACCATAACTATCAGCACCGACCTTACCCCACCCATAGCATTACCTGTACCCACCCATGTAACCCAAAACCCAAGGGCATGGGTGGGTTTGTGCATGGGCACCCAATGTTGGGCTCTGCATCCTACATTGTCAACCATCAGCCACTGATAGATGTACTGCTGTTCTAGTTTCCAATTCCTCAGATGCAGCTATTCGCTCACTACGCCATTCGTAACCCCAAGCTATCTTTCTCCGCATTATGCTGTACACCGTCCACCATTTAGAAACTGGTGAGTATAACAACTGATCCCTTTTCTAGTACGAAAGTTGCAGCTATTTCTCTTACTCCGCCATTCGAAGCCCCAACGATTTGGCGGAGTGAAGTGGCAATTTACATTGATACAGTACAAAAGACTCCGCAGTCTTTCCCCTAGAGGTAGCTCCCTTCTGTAACACGAGCGAATAGCATCCGACGGCAGTAGCTCCTTCTCTGCTTGGAAGGGTACGGAAGGCAATCATTTAGGCGTCTCCATCAGGGACCGAATCCAGCGTTCATTGAGCTCATATCGTGCTTGAAGGAGAGATTGCTTTATCATTTAAAACGTTCGCATTTCCTTGCCTCACGTTTGCTTGTCTGACAGCGGGCAGCAATGAGCACAGAGACAACTGCTCCGTGTTCTGAACAGTTTTGCTTCGAATCTGCTGGAGCTGTTGTCGTTTTCCTTCCAGGTTACATGTTCATCACATCTCCATTTCAGTCTCACCAGCTTAATCTTCTGGCCCATAGTTGCCTCGCAGAGAGCAAGGGGGCTCTAATTGGTCTTTGCCTCCCACCCAACAGTTCTACACTGCTAAATCGCAAACTGACGTGAAGCGCGTTTGACCTACCATCAGCTTCGAGTGGCTGTTGAAGCCGAGACGGCCACACGTGCAAGTGTTTGTGGCTCTCCTCGGATCTGTGACGTCAGGTATGTTGAACCACATGATGTTCTGAAAAGACAAAGGCTATGACGAAATGCAAATAATTGTCTTCAGAGCGAGTCATTTATATCACCACTGGCCTCGCAGTGGGACTCATGCTCCGAGAACACGACGCCTTGCAGACAGGCGACACGACTTAGGATCTCAGACACTGGTTTCGACGTCAGAAGGATCGCAGTTCATCACACGTTTGAGAGAGCCATCGAGCCAGAAATTTTGCAAAGTGGAAAGATTCCCGTTGTAGAGAACATCATTTTACAAAGGGTCGGTGACAGAAAAACTGAGGAAATTACTTGATGGTACTCGTTGGAAACTCAACCCTCTTGAAGGAACCCAACACGTTTCAATTTACACGATGGGACCCATTCGACGGCCACCGTCAGCCATGTTCTTATAACCTACTGATTTGCTCTATAGAGTGGGAGTGTCCGCCACTGTCGGGCCAGAGTATTTTGGCGACTCCTTCGCAGCCATGTCTAAGAAAACGACGGGCACCATGACTTCATCTTTCTACTCGAAATAACTCGAGATAGTATTGGAACATCACTGACGGTGGGGTTGAAGGGCCGTCTATGGGGTCCCATCGGGTAAAATGTTTTGAGTTTCCCTGGGGTCCCATCAAGTAATTTACTCGAGAAAACTCAATTGAATCCAATTACTTTCTTAGCAATCGTCCGAAACTCTGGTCAACGCTCGGTACAGTACTGTACCGAGCTTGCGTTTCTCAGAAAAAGGTTTCTGTGTACATTTTGTATACCTTGCTATATACTTCGATGTAATATACAACACATTTCAGACCATGTGCGAATTTGATACTTGAACTAATCGAAACAAGATTTTCCGGAATATGTATCTATTTCAAATGCCTCAGGTTCTGTTTGATCGAGTGACAGAATTCGATATTACTTGCATCTAGGAGGTACCCAAAAAATGGATATGTGATCAAAGGTAAATACTGATCAAATAAAAAATCCATCGAAAAACTTGTAAACTTTGTTTCAGATATAGCAGCTCACTTAATTTATCGATAATTCGATCTTCATAAAGAACTAAAAATACATCATTGCAGGATTTACTTTCATGAAAGCCGATAATTTCATATAAATCTTAGACTTATACATGAAGCTTTAACAAGGTTGAAATAAACAATAAAGTTTGGAAAGTACATGATAACTTATAAATGATAAACTGAAAAAGGTGATGATTTTACATCAAAGAGATATACAATCAACATGATAAAAAAGCGTTAGTAGTTTGTGCATACTTCACATTTGTAAGTTTTCTAAGTATAGATATCAGACATTGATTCGACCTGGTCATGGAAGAAAGCAAAATGAAGTTGACTAATATAAAACAAAGTTCTCCAATCACCTGAAGTGTACTGAATTATACCTTAGAAGTAAATAATAGAAATAGATACATACATGAATTTCACAGAAAGAAAAATTGACTTTGGTAAATATTGCTTTAGTTATTTGTGAGCAATCTGAACCACATGGTTCAGATTATTTTCATCGTTCAACATTGTATTATTGTCGGGTTCACTTTGACACTTCCAGGGTCTCATGAGGTATTCACGTACTTTATGCTTTTTACATTGCCTCCTGCCTCCGAGTACCCGAGGTAGTAGAGACATAGTCAGCGCTCGGATCCAAGCACGCGAAAGGTGCTGTCCGAATGTTCGCACGCGGATGGAATATTCCTTAGATACCGACCTGCTGGGCGACTCAGTGGTCGAGAGCTCGAGTTACTGTACTCAGAATAAAGAATAAGTATGTGAGGCTCATATCACGTTGTCAACACTCAAGTGAAAAAATAGATCGATTTTCCTTGGCTCGTCTGCATGGAAGCACGTCACGGAAAGTGCAATCTGGAATCTGGCACTCGAGCAAGAATGTTCCCGGAATTCCTTTTTTTCCTACTCTTTATACTTCCACATCAGAAATTGTT